GAAACAGCTTGCTTCGAATATTTCCTCCAGCACTTCAATTTTACAAAATTATCGTTATCGTTAACACTGTCTAAGAAATTAATTACTAAAGTTTCATGATCGGTTATTTTCAAATCAGCTTGAGTAACTGAACTGACAGAATCAAAATTAGAATAAACATGGTCAATCAAAGTTCTACTGTGCCGGGAAATACGCGTGCATTCACTTACTAATTGTTTTAAATTAAAGAAATCAGCTAATTGCTTCAGATGGATCGAATTGCTAGTATCATGCCAATTAATGTTAAAATCACCCGCAAGTATATTTAATTTACTAGAATCTAAAAATGTCTCGAACCAGTTCTCTAAAATTTCAATAAAACGCTGATTACTTGAACTGGGAGAATGATACAAAACACCATAATTACCCATCTTCATGCCACGTTCAACTGTAATGCCTAAGAACCAATTGCCATCAATAACTTCGTTTTGGCGAATATTGAATTGAACTGATTCTTTGACATAAATAGCAACACCGCCAGTGTGCCTCGAATGTGACAAACAAGCAGCAGCTTTATATCCCGGAATGCTATACTGATCAAAAGATTCAATTTCTACAATATGTGTTTCTGCTAACAAAACCAAAAGTGGACGATTTTCTTCTACAATCTGACGTAATGTTACGTAGTTTGTAGATAACCCCGCAATATTCAAATATAAAATCTCTAATTTACTCACATTACTACTGGAACTTGGTTGCTATTTATTGAAATGTAAGCTGCTTTTTTTCTGATCATATAGTTTTTTATAAACAAAACAATTAGAACTAAATGCTGCGTGGTTGACGTCCAGATTTAATTTACGCTCCTTATTAGTTTTTAAACAATTAACGCATTTCAATACAGTTGACGTACACTTAGAGGTGCTATGTTGTTTGCTGCATCTAGAGCATCGTTCGCAATTTTTGTCAAGGTCATCAATCGGATGTCAGTTCCCATAAGTTTAAATCAAACATACCATTTAGTGTTAAAACAGCATTGGAGGTACAATTTTAAAAGTCGGTCGTGGCATGAAGTGGTCTGATTTAATTATTTTAATTATTAATACGCCAATCGATAGGAAATTTTTCTACGAATCTGTTAAAATTAAAACTTTATCATTTTTCGAAAAGTCATCATTGAAAATTGCACGAATGTGCAACTGTTGCTATGATAATTAAAATTATCACCGATTGCCTGCGAAGAGCGCTTTCCCTAAAACAGATTTCAAAATCGAATTCCATCCGGTTTCGCCGAATGGTGTTTAATGCGTAATTTTGTCATCAGAAAACAAGTGGTTTCCCTAACACAGTCGCCGAATATTGAATTCGAGCTCGCAATCTTGCGTCAAATCTACGGTCGTGTCTTGAACAGAACGTAAAATTATTGACTGCTTAGGCTGAGTGTGAAAGCACTGCACTATTCAATTCATTGCTCTGTCCAGACCATTTGTGCCCAAAAGGTAAAGGACAAGGCAATGAAAGAGCCAACAAAAGCATTCAATCACTTGCGAACAGGCGACTCACAGCGCTTGCCTTCGCACACACAGCATGTCATTCAAAACAAGGATTGAGTACCATCACGGAAGAATAAACGTGCTAACTGAGCTACTGACTGAGTGCACGGCAGTGAATTATGAGGCAGATGGGTGTTCATATTGTGTGTGGGTGTGTATTCTCTCTAACCCCCACTGGCCATCAGTTTTATTATGAAAGAAATCTCCCTACAATGTCGCATTTATGGTCATTGCAGACAGCTTTAGTCCGAGAGTTAGAAAATGATAGCTCTATTGCAGATCCAGCAACCCATTTCAAAATGTCTGGAGAGTCACGCCCATTCCGAGGTTACTTTCACTTACAATAAGCCCTGCATGTATGTATTACCTCTATTAATTGGATATTAGTATTACACACGCCTTTCCAGTTTCAAAATGTTCTGTTGAATCCTGGCAGGTATTTAGTTTATTTTTTTTTAATTGTAAAAAGTATTTGGACTTGTCTCACCATGTTAATTTGATCCCCCAATCCTTGGGTTCCGCAGTTTTGATTTTTTCTAAGCTTTGCATCTCATTTCGTGATGCACCTTTGTCGAAATACTTCCTTGAATGAACACAAATTTGCTTGCATTGCCGAGCAGTTTTGCAAGCGAAAAACTTGCTGATTCACGGCAACGTCGGCCACTGAATCACCACTCAAACTCGCGACTGACACATTATCAGCACATTCGCGAGCTAATTCACCAACCGGACCGGTTTCAAACTCGCCCACGGTGACGAATCTCTCAATAGAACTACACGCCGAAAATATGGCATCCGAACTCGGAAAACCGGGTTCTCGGGAGGCAATGAAAACCGACAACGAACAATGGAACTGAAGCTGCATCGTAGATTTGGGAGGTTAGATTCAAGGTCAACCGAGTCATTCAAGGCAAACACAGGCAAAACACGATATATCACTGAATGATTACTTTATGAACACTTGAAACTAAATTTTAGCACACAAATTTAAATAAAAAAATATGTTTAATTCGTTGACGAAAAGTATGCAGCAAAAGAAAAATACGTCAGCTTTCAAGCGCGGCCTACTGCAATCGAGGCAGATGGCAGTTCACACTGGTCTTGAATACAACCTCTTACTTTTATTATGTAATCAATGATATTTTGTATTTATAAATTACAAGAAAATGTTGCAAAGAATATGTATGACGTATGCATGCTTAGCTTTCAGAGAGTCACAATCCTCACCAGAGATGCCAGATTTACAGACATGTCTGTGAATTTACAGACTTTTACTTTTTTCACAGACATTTTTTTCGTTACATACATTTACAGACTTTTTAGTTTTTTCACAGATATTTACAGACTTTTGTAATCAAGAAAAAATTACATTACATCACGTTGTGTTACACTGTTTTACATAGTTAATCAAACTACACGTGCGATGTATTTTGCAAAACGCATTAGAAATTCGTGCGTTTTCAAATCCACCACATGAACGAGCTGTCACTGTTATATATAGACACTGTCACTGAAAAAGCTAATGAAATCGAGGGGGACGAAAGTCCAAGATTTATTCAAAATTTGCCAAAAATTACTCTAAAGTTTGATTTATTGATTTATAGTCGGACAAATTTATTTTATCGGATTCATCCGATATAATCGTGCTTAAATCTCTAAAAACAAATAATATTGGGGTTGGTTGGAAATGCTAACATGAAGCTTTAGTGTGATGATTTATTAGCTAGAGAATGATCTTTAGAAGAATGTAGGTGGATAGTTCCGTTAGAGTACGGCAGTATGAAAATTGAATAGAAGTTGAAAATGAGCGAAGGGCCATTAAAGCGACAGTTTTCAAGATGACGCACATTTTTGCCTAGCCCGTACGATGTACGCGGGGACTTGAAGTATGTCTCCAAGTCCACAGGCAAAAATGTGCGTCCCTCTTGTTGCTCATAAACTGACTGCGGCTGTGGAATAGTTCTAGCGACGTTTTCATCACTACCTAAAGCCCCACGTTGCGAGAGCATTTCCAGTCGATGGTGTGTTATAATGCAGTTCTTCTTTACCCAACTATTGTGTTGCTCCTCTCGTCATGACCAACGTGATCATCTCAGAGAGAAAGCAGTAGGGTGGTTGTTGCGTGCTGTACCATCATCAGCATACTGCCGTACTCTAATGGAACTATCCACCTACCCTCTTCTAAAGATCATTCTCTAGCTAATAAATCATCACACTAAAGCTTCATGTTAGCATTTCCAACCATCTCTGAAAATCGTTAACTTCGCGTATGAAGTAACATAAAAAACACTTTGAAAATAATATTGATTTTTATCGGTCATATCTCTTATATCGGGTCACATATCTTTAAGCAGTGTTGGCAAACTCAGAAATCAATTGATATTTTTCCGCTCTCATGCGCTCGCAATATCACGCGTGATATTGGAACAAAATATCATGCTTGATATTGATTTTACCAGCTCCTTTGATATTGCGAGACTATTCACAACGTGCAAACATCATGCTGAGAGCTGACTCGACACAAAAATGATTCTATTGCACATCGCGTTTTTCGCCTGTTTGAAAAAGCATTCAAACCATGACTTATGAAATGTATTTCCAATATAGCCATCACAAATGCAATGTTGTCTTCTCATTGCTTATGATGTTTTCTGATTATATACTCATTAAAAGTTTCATATTTAAAGAACTAAATTGTTTGAGCTTCACGCACTTTTTTCTACATTCATCGAACATTATCAAAGTTACCCCAAATTAAAAACTGATGTCCATTCAGAAAACTAAAACAAATAGTGCAAATGCTTTAATTTTCGTTCAACATATTACTAACAAATTCATTGTTGGATCCTCAGTACTTGTTTTAAAAATATAAAATTTGAAAAACATTCATTGCTGTAAAAAACATTTAGAATATACTTTAAAAAACTATCAATGTTACCCCGTTTTACGGTATCTGAAAACGAAATTAACTGGTGTATTTAACAATTGCATTGCAACCTCTTCTTGTAACAAATACAACATATCACAATTTCGAAAAAAAAACATGTGTTATGGAAAAAGTTGTTTCATCAAACCTGCCTGCATAAATAATAGGTTGTAATTCTAATAAAACACTCATTTTTTTCGTCCAGATTCTAAATAAAATGGAATATGCTTTACATGAAACATTGTGAAAATCTACACCAAAACTAGCGTCGGTTATGTCTGCAAATCACTGAAGTTTAGTTGAATTTTCCAAACGCTGAACGGTATTCAATTTCTGCTAAATTGTCAAACTGTCCTTATTGACTATAGTTCTCTAGAACAATAAAAAATCTCGCCACCTCTTTCAACAACACCGAGAAGCTGCAATTAGTTTACTGTTTAGCCACACGCTCCGCTGCACCACAGACAACGGCAGCAATCAGAACAGGTAAAGTGAGTTTACCGTTTTTCACAGCGATTCTTGTCTTCTGTTTCTCTTTTCAGCACATTGTCACCGGCCTCGGATGGATGGAGTTGATAAAATTGCCCGGAAGAAATTAATTTTAGCCAGCATCCTGTGCGTTGTATTCATGATAGCGGAGATAGTAGGTAACTGGTAACTTGCACGTCTATAGTCTGTATTTTTTTTTCAAATGGGATTTTGCAATTTGACGGTTCCAAGAAAACGATGAGAAAATAATGTTCGCTTCGCTTAACGTAAAATTAATAAACGTCTCGCTGTTCGGACAATCAAGCACCGAAAATTTGATCCTAGTTTGTCGGCTAAGAAGCAAGTTCTCTAGAACCTTCATCTTCAAAATTTCCACGTAGTCATCATAAGCAATAGCGTTTTTGCCATAGCTTTCGCAAACTGATGGCGCAATTTGTCATTATGTGTTAGGGATCATCCATAAATGATGTAGCATATTTTTTGCCAATTTTAGGAAACCCGTTTCCGCTTGTAGCAAATTTGGTTGTACCTTAACAAGACTTATAACAACTGTCACAACGTCATTTATGCATGTTCCCTTGCTGTTGTTTTTGCTTCATTTTCTCATCAACTCTTTTTTGCCCCTTCTCTGACTCGTCTTCGCGTGTAGGTGGTATCTACTCCAACAGTCTGGCAGTAGCAACAGATGCAGCACATCTATTAGCCGATCTGGCCAGCTTTATGATATCGCTGTTCGCACTCTGGATCGCCGCGAGACCATCTACGAAGAGGTAAGGCAACGCAAATTGCTCATCTACTTTTATTTTATTACTGCTGCTCTTCTCGTGCTGAAGCAAGGAGCAGTAAAAAAGCTGCTCCAGTGCAACAGGAGGGTAGCTGTTGAAGATGAGTTGATTGTTATTAAACTGTAATGAAATTGGCGAATAGTGACTGGTCATTGTGGCGAAAAGGAGAAGCCCTTTCTTGTCACTGCCTGTTTGGATGATTCAGCTTTAAGCTGTTGTAATGGAACACATTATTTATTTAAATACATCCTACGGGAGTCGTTCCATACCAGACGAAGGAAGGGACTTTCATCATGCCGGGATGCCAGCGAGATTCCCGGAAAAACTTTGTACCCAAATTTGATTTATCTCTAAACCCCCTACGGAGCAGAAAACAATCTCCATGCCTCCACCACTTTATCGAGAACTCCCCACCATGCTGAACGAAACCATTGTTGTTCTACAAAGTAATTACGTATCATTTCACTTTACCTACATAAGATCCATTCCCATGGCTTTTCCCGCCGCCGCCTTGTGATGGGGAAATTCCCTTCGGGCGTTTTTGTTTGCCATTCTTGATAGCTTTTGACTTTTCCAGTTAAAAAGAAAGAGGTACCGAAAAAACTTTCGGTTCCAGGATCCTTTTTCGCTCCCCGTCAGCTGCGTCATCCAGCTTCCTTTCCGTCCCAGACCAGTGGATTCCGGCTGAGCCTTGTTTGAGGCCTCCTGCCACCTCCCACCAACACACGGCCTGAGCCTGCTGTGTAGTCACAGTCTCAATTTTCTTCTTTAACTAGTTTTTCGTTATCAAAATTGTTTGAGCAATAGTGAGCGAAGAAGGTACAACCGCTCTGCTATTCGAGTGGAATGTTGAACTACAAAAAAATAGGAAGACAAAAAGATGTTCACCCTTAAGCGGGAAAGGAAAATCTTTAGCTCCAAGTTGCGCTACGCTAGGAATTTGTTGTTGTTGTTGTTGTATCTTTTCCCAGTACTCTTATTGCCCTTTGGGCGCAAATTTTGTTCCTGTTTTCAAATAGACTTTGTATTATGGAAAAAACGGAATCAAAGGCGTGTTCACTTTTACTTGCTTTTGAGTTGTCGTTTCCTTCAATCTTTCGAACGCTGATGACAGTGTTTGGATACATTCAGAACAATGCCAAAAAATCATTCCGGCTTAAAACTTATAAAAACCGTTTGACGTCAATTGATAGCATACACACTTAGAAAATATCTCCGACTTCGGTAATTATTTTACCGAAATCTCAACCGCTGAGCGGTCGGTAATGTTTTCGGTAAATTTTAGAATTACCGAACTGTCCGTAATTCTGATTGAAAATCAGCTGTCAAAATGATACAAAAAGATCGGTAAAGTTTACTGAACTAATTGTAAAACTAAATTACCGAACATATTGTTAATTTCAAAAGCCCGTGGGAATAAAATTGGGTTCTCAATAAAATAAAACAAAACACGTAATTATGAGTTTGAATTAATGTATTTAATTTTGTTTTGTATTGGATGCGTTTTCGTTATTTGGGATACATTTTTTTTTGTAAATTCATTCATTCAGAAACAGGTGAAAATGTAGAAAATCGTTGGATAAATGATTAAAGAGAATGCAAAAATTTAGCTCCCGTGGTGCTCAGAGTAGCAGTATGCAAAACAGCCCCGCGAAGAAAAAGAAAAAACTGCCTGTCAGTTGGAGCTGGTTGGACATTGAGCACAGTAAATGTCTCAAGAAGTATGTTGAACGCAAGTTTCAATTCTGCCAGAACCGGAATGGACCATTCGCTCCAGCGAATAATGCAATCTTCGCTGTTTTTCAACGGCTCTCCTCTTACGTACAAAACAGGAATCATCGATGCAGTTTGCGGAGGGCCATCGTCCATCTGAATTAATTATATTAAGATTTATTTTAATTTTTGTTTAGATTTTCAATTTGTTTACCTGTATCCACTCTATGATGCCCGATAGCGGGTTATTCTTCATGTTATTCTTACTTGTAGTATCTTGCTTTCGCTTTGATCCTCTTGACGGATTTTTCGACCGAATTATCGACAACGCTCGAACGAAATCTGTAAATAAATTGATTGTTTCAAGCTATTGAATATTTTCTAACGTTGTAAATTAATTTCCGAGATAATTTCTTACCATTTTGTATTTCTTTGAACTGATCCGAATGGTGCTCCAAAACTGCGAGTTCGATTGGTTCCCAATATTCACAGAAAGATGTTGATTCAGGTTTGATTTTGGCGTAATCCAGGCTTATCTGTAAGATGAAATGGTTAAAGTTTTACATCACTGTTGTAATTGTGATTGCCTATTGACTGGTGCTTATTATATTATTAAGATGCCTTAAAGATTTAAGATGAAAGAAAAAAGGGACCAATCATCGTTGATCGGTTCTCTTCATCGATTTCTCTTTTGCGAATAACGTGACTGCAAATTTGGATGAACATTTCAATAGGTCCTATCTGCATTGATCGAATCTTTTCATCGACTTTCTCTTTTGATAACAACAGCAAACAGATTTCGTGCTATATTTGCCGCATATTTTGATAAAGGAGGCTCTTATCTAGTGTCCAACACATAAATCACAATAGGGAATGTTTTTGCAGCTTTTTTCTTTTCTTTTTTTTGTGATTTTTAACAGATTGGCTAGTTCATCACAGCTGGAACGATGAAGAAAATCGATCAACTCAGATAGGACCTTACGAAATGTACATCTATAAATGCATTTTTTGTGTTGTTGCTCCGAGAAAGTCGATTTAGATAATCGATCAACAAAGATAGGGCCTTTTTAAATGTTACGAAGCATTTCTAGATAAACATTTCAAAAAGTCCTATCTACGTTGATCGGTTCTCTTCATCGACTTTCTCTTTTGATAACAACGGCTTTTCAGACGAATTTATTGCTATTTTTGCCACATAGTTTGATAAAGGAGATTCTTATCTAGCGTCCAAAACATCAATCGGAACAGCGAATGTTTTTGCAGCTGATTTATTAACGAAAGAGAAAAGTCAATGCAGAGAATCGATCAATGCAGATAAGACCTTCTGAAATGTTCATCTAGATTAGGCAGCATCTCAAGAAGCAAGCGATGCAGTAAGCAACGTAACTCTGGGAAACGGTATGAGAAGGAAACGTCAACAGAAACAGAACATAAACAAATTTCTTTTCTTCAAATACCTAACGAATAGCACGAATAGTGATCACGAAAAAAAGTTGGGATGTAGTCACTGTAATTTGTAATTTGTATATTTATTCGTGACGTGACCTATCACTTAACAAACTTATCTTAAGGTAAAGTTTGTCAACTGATATAAATACAAATTACTGTAACGACATCCAAACTAACTGTGCCTTTAAAAGATGACTATATTCTTACCAGTTCTCCATTGTAAGCAGTTAATACTGGAAAGTCTTTCAAATAGTTGCTGAATGTGTTTTCGCCGTCTTCAGAACGAGAAGCTTCACGATCGTTGAATGTCGCTTTCCATAACTCCACCACACGGAACTTGTTTGCTCGATTTGGGACAATAAATGTCAACTCCTGAATCTGATGAAAAAAAAAAACGTAAGAAAAATGAATTTCCAACTAACCCGAAATAAACAGATTTTCAGGTCTACCAGCAATTTGATATCTTGAAGGCAAGGCTCTTCGACTGCAGAAGCATTCTCTTCCTGATGATTAACCTTTGGTTGCTCAATCCGACGCCGTTTGACAACTCGTTCGTCTGATTTCCTCGCCAAATATTCCATGCGATAGTGAATTCGACCAGCATGTCGATTTATTCCGCGAGCATGTGCATGGAACCAAAGTGCCTAAAATAAATGTATGCATGAAAATGTTGATATGCAGCCAAAACCAGTGCAGTGTTCACCTGCGGAACGTCACAATTAGAGGCCGCCAGGATAGGATAGGTTTTGACGAGTGAGGCAGCGATTTGATTTTTATGGAAGTTTGTCGGTCGGCTATAAAAAAAATAAAATAAAGTGAATTCATCTTTGTTGGATAAAAAGTACAGAGAACAATGCAAACTCACCATCCGTATAGTGATTTTAAACATTCGCTGAGTATATTCGATATGAGCTTGTAAACCTTTTCGTTGATGCATGTCTCTTCTCGCAATAGTTCTTGAATAGCAGCTCCATTTGGAGTTCTTTAAAAAATCCGGTCGATGTTTATGATCTGTTCAAAGATTACGTTTGTATCATCATCATTCCAAGGTCAAATAAGAGCTTACCTGTTCGAGGTTAATGCCGTGATAAGGATCGTTTGGATCAATAATCGCTTCAACTTGATAAACTTCCTCGGTGGAAACCGTGGAAACATCTTCAATAATATCGTGAGTAATGTTAGTCTCATTACACTTGTGCTTCGTTTGAATTTTTTCAATTATTTTGATCATTTTCGTTGTCATGCTCATTCTGGCAAAATCGCGCTCGTTCAATGCCAGAAATATCTCCAAATCGTCGATTTCTTCTTTTTCTGGAAAAGATAATTAAATAAACTACAATATTGTTGCCGTAATAAGGAATGAAAAGGCTTAACAATCTACCTAGTAATCTTGGTTATAAAACCGTCTCGAAATGTATTTCTTGGAGTCTTGTTTTTTTTTTTTTTTGTTAATTACTTTATTTGTACAGGCTCATTCGAATAAACTTTACAGAGCCAAGTTATCATTTTCTTTATACATTATAAATGTCTTAAATCTAAAATTAATGGATTGGAACCGATTACTCGCGGTCTTCTCGAGGTTAGTGGATGACAATTGTTTGGATCGGGAGAGGGAAAAGGAGATTTGGAATATGATTTATGATTCAAAAATTTCACTATTTCTAAAACAAATACTTAATCCTATCGACGTTATATCAACTCTGTAATTATACAATTATTACAGAAACAAATCTACAAAAAAAATACACACACACATACAAAACACAAACTAAACACAAGGTTAATCAAACTTACAATCTATGGTTAATATTCTTCAAGAAAAC